GAGTGGCCGCGACGTCACCTCGTCCCGCGGATTGCGCTCCTGCCTCCGCCTGCCTAAATCAAGTCCCTCAACCGAGTACACACAACGAAGAAAGTCCGACAATTTTATTTAGCATAGTTTTATCTATTGTAATAGAGGACCCAATTCAACAACAACAACAACGATCTGACGCTCGAGGCGGAACCGTCATCGTGCACAACCAGCGTGCTGTGGTGGGCTTCATTCGGATTCCAATGAATGCACTGCACGAGCCACAACGTGCCACGTCACGGGTCGCCAGCCATCAGTGCAACCCAGTGCAACCTCTGGTGCATCGTGCGTGCAAGGTCAGCTTGCGTCGCCATCGCATGAGTGCCCATGGCATTGTTGCGATGGAAGACGATGCGGACACCACGTATGCTGAACGCGCGAGTACCAACTATTGTATACAATCTCCTTTTTGTCGTGAAAAGTGCAAACTGCTCTTCTTTGGTGCGCTAGCATCGCCACACGATCGCCGAGAGGTAGCTGCTAGCATTTACTGTTGGCCAGCCGCCCTTGGCATTCCGTGTGGTTCATGGAATCATTTTCTGCAAACCAAGCCAGATCGCTCTCGCAACCATACGAGTACTGAGTTGTCGGCGTATGCGGGACACTGGTATACACGGCATGTTGCTGCCGGCACGCAAGAGAGGAGTGGGACGCCATCACGTTGAGCCATCACTACGAGTGCGAGCTGGCTATTGTTCCTCGCCTACGAGGCTTGTCAGGAAGAAGGTGCTGGCGAAGCTGCCAACAGTCCAGGACACGGATGACAACATGCAGCGTCCGCATCCGGACCAAAATGCCACCGCTGGAGACATCGAGGAAAAAGAACCTCCTAGACATCCGATATGGTTGATAGCGCGCATTTCTTGCGCGTGGAAACGCCGAAGTAGTAGTACCGGTACCACAAGTGTATAATGCAGTGTCGTCAGCTAGTATGTTACTGCATCGCCTTTTCTCGTAATGGAGCTCTTGCGTCACCCTTCTTTGAGTCGCACTTGCATTGGAAGGTAGGTTCTACATGCGGATACACGTGTACGCTTTGATGCGGCACGATTGAAACGCGCGCTCTCGTGCTGCTCCGTGCCACAAGATATGGACGATTTGCATCGTTTCGCATGGATTCCACGCAAGACATGTGTTTGCACTTGACTCGCTGGCTACAAAAATGTATATCTTACTCAAATGCGTAGATTCGCGGCTCTCTGACTGCAATAGGTATGGAATCTAGGTCATGCGCTCAGACAAGTGTCCACACCATCGCTGTCGCAGTCTCTCATTTGGCGCAAGCCGTGATGGAGCATGGAGTCAAGTCGCCGAGCCACGATGGCACCGTCGAGATGGACTACGCCAACGACATTGGCCACGACGTGCGCGCGCAGCAGGGCTCACACAACGCCCGTACCAACGACGAGACCAGGTCGCGGTACCTCCACTGGTTCCTCGGTGCACCGGGAACCTTGCTGGGCACACTCATCGCGCTCTGCGTCGTCTTTGGTGTCGTGGGAGCCGCCGGCGACAACACCAATTTCGGCGTCGTCTACCACGACCACGCCAAGTACACGTACGCTATCGGGTGTCTCTTCCTCCGCGCCCTGACGTGCATCGTCGTGCCCAAGATCGTCCTTGACGTGGCGCTTTCGTGTGCCGACGTTGTCCGCGCACGGCGTATGTTTCAATTTCGCCGGCGCATCGTCGGTCTTGCGCTCCTGACGACGCTGCTTGCATCGGCGCAGGGGCTCGCATGGGGTCTTCTTCTCGGCCATAAGTTTCGCGGCACAACATACACGTTCCGCCCTGCGGCACTGGGCCTTCTGTGCCCGCGTCTCGAGAGCGACAACACCACGACGACGACCTTGACAGGCGTTGTGGTTGTCGAGAACGGGACGCTGGCGTGCACGACCCATGACAAACTCGCATCGTTTGGCATGGCCGACGACGTGTTCAAGCTCCGAAACACCATCAAGCGCTGGACAACGTACGCCAGCGTCGGCGACGAGATCCAGAGCATGGTCCGTCGACTCGTGCCCCGCAACCTGACGCTGGCGCTGCTACACGGCGACGTCGCGGGGGCTGTCGTATTTGCAATCGTACTGGGGATTGCGCTCGGCGTGTACGACGGTGACGACGGCGACGACGATGCTGGCAGCGACACCCGCATCGTCAAGGTGCTCCGTGAGCTCAACGCGATCTTTGAGATTATGATGTCTTACGTGGTGACGACGACGCCAGTTGCGCTCATCCCGCTGATTGTCGGGCCGCTTCTCTCGGGCACGCACGGCTACGAGGACTTTGCGCGTCTCGGGTATTTCGTGCTGGCATACCTGGCTGCGATCGCGACCCATGGCCTCGTCGTGCTCCCCACAGTGCTCGTGCTTGCATCATACACACACCCGCTGCGATGGTTTCAGCACGTGCGCCAGGCACTGCTGTACGGCCTCGCCTGCAGCTCGTCGCGCCAATCGCTGCCGTTGACGATGCGAGCGCTAGACAAGCACGTGGGCACGCCAGAGGCAGCGCGCTTTGGCGTCGTTGTCGGCACTACGCTCAACCGGAACGGCGCGTCCATGTACATCACGCTCTCGCTTGTGTGGCTCTTTTACAATGCAGGTCTTGACGATCGGTTGACGCCTGTCAAGACGTGTCTGATTCTTCTCTGCGGCGGGCTCGGGTCTCTCGCTGCGGCGCCCGTGCGCTCGGGCGGCATCGCAATCGTCGTGAGTTTCTGGGCCATGCTCTCGGGTATTCCAACGCCGTATGCGTACAGCCTCCTCCTCGTCGCCGAGTGCATCATGGACCCGCTGGCGACGATGATCAACATGGCCGGCAACTTGGTCGTTGCCCACATCGTGGGCAACGGAAACACCGACCTCCTGTCCCGGCAAGGGCGCACGAGTGCATAGACAATTGTATACATTGTACATTGACATCATGACCTTGTGTGCGTCGTGCTAAGCGTTCGCGCTCTTCTGTGGTATGGGACTGACACCGCCTTGTCATTGCGACTTGTGGCATGCGACATGGTGAGCAGGATCTCAACATACAAGTGGTGACACTCTCCTCTTGAAAAGCAATACGTGTGCATCATCAAACGATACGAATGACGACAATATTGTCGTTCCTATCCAAGTTACCGGTCGTCAAGACCAAACGCGTGCATGTTGACGCGTGGCGTTGCTGGGAAGCTCGCCATCACAAGCTCCATAAAGCCCTGCGGACCGCACACCGCAACGATGGCGCGACTCGGATCCACGGCGCGAAAGTCGAATGCCGTCGGGCGGTCGTTGCTAAAGTGCGTCACGATGCGCAGCGGTGACGCCAGCGCGTCCAGCTCGTCTGTGAACGGGGTCCCCGCCGTTGTATAGACAAAAAGGTGAATGGTCTTGTAGCGCAGGTCGTCGATGGCACTCTGCAGCAGCGACAGCATCGTTGAAAAGCCCGAGCCACCCGCGACCAAGACAAGCTCTGCGTGTGTCTCGGGCATCAAAGTGATGCAGCTTGGAACGGGCAATAGGACGTCGACGGAGCTGCCAATCGCGCAGTCGTGGAGCAACGTACTCACTTTGCCATTCGGTACTTTTTTTACCAGCAAGCCGATACGATGTGGGCACTGCATGTCCTTGGCGACAAGCCCAAGAGGTACAGGCGTATACGACCGGGTAGCGCCGGCGATGCGCAGGGCAGCGTGGTGACCGGGCGTAGCATAGGCGAGGACATTGTGCGTGGGCGACTCGAGAATAAGCAGTGCCATGTCGGGCGAGACAAGCTTCCTCGATACGACGGTGCACGGCTCGAAGGACGTGCGTGAGCGCGACGCAAACGACGCCGACGTCGTTGCATACGCCTCGATGGCCATGTAAGCAAGGGCCCACACCGCCCACGAGACGATACCAAGGCGTAAACGCGTGTCGTCCTCGGTCTGCGTCGAGAAGAAGCTCTGTAGAAGGATGAGCCCCGGGCGCATCGCGATGATCGCACCCGCAATGCCATAGGCGCGCAGCATGTAGTAGCGGTGCAGCTCGACTTGGCCGCGCTGAATGGCGCGGACGCCTTGGTAAAGCGAGTGGACCCACACGAGAGAGAAGACGACAGACGAGAGGAGGATGCCCAGACCCCCCTCGAGCGACGGGCCAGCGACACAGAGCATGGCCCAGACCGCGATAAACGAGACGCCACAAGCACCAATGGCCACGTACCCGACGTTGCGGTGTCGGGTAAAGCTGGCGGTGCGAAACCCCGGAAACAGTTGCAGCGTCGACGCAATGAGCCAGAGCGACCCCGACGCCACGTGGACATACGCCAAGCCTCGCACGGTCGTGTGCTTGTAGATGCGGACGGCCCCCATCGGCGAAATGACAAAGTACAAAACCACGTAGGCTGCGAGGAAGACGACAATAAGACCCGCTGTTGCGTAGCGGAGGTACTTGAACCCGCGCGCACGACGTGTCGCCGCTGCGAGCAACGGTGATGTTTCGGAGCTGGCGTCGGAGAAGACAGTGGTCGTCATGGGCAGCGAAATTGGTCAATGGTCACCGACGGCCAAGGCCTGAAACGGGAAACGGCGGCATGATGTCCGTAGTCATCATTTCTGCGTAAAAAGAAAAAAGGATATCAATTCAAATGCACACTATTTGAATGAAATGGCGCGCTTGCCAGTCTCATTCTTCAAGTATAGATTGTACAAACGTAAGATAGTGTTGATTACAATGTGACACTATTTGACGCATATTTGCGAGGGTTGTGTTGGCTTCGATGGACGACGGAACCTACACTCCACTTTTGATGGGAGCACCTGCATTCTACGATCGCACTACGGTATCAAATACGAGGATGGGCGCGACGAAAGGCGTCAGAAAGCAACAGCAGAAGTCGGATCCTATGCCTTCGAGGTCTTGCTTATATTCCATGGCTTACATCCCAGCAACCAATAGAGGAAAGCCAATGCAAAAGCCAAGGATGAGTTGCTGGTACAGTATTCAACGAGACACAAATGTGTACACACTACGACACAACGTCCAGAGGAGTCGTGATCTAACCCTCCTGCGGGTTGGCCGTCGAACGAAGGCTCGTCTTGGTGAGGTACGGCGCGATAAAGTCCTTGCCGTATGAGAGGCGCGAGTAGACACCGGGCTTGTTGGCCAACGCGCAGCCCTCACCCCAGCTGACGACGCCGATCTGGACTTCCTTGCCGTTCTTGACGGCCGTGAGCGGGCCACCCGAGTCGCCCTGGCACGAGTCCTGGCCCTTGACGCCGCCCGCGCAGATCATGGACGCGTGGATGCCGTCGAGGTTCTTGGCGCATTGGTCGTTGGCCCAGACCTTGACGCCGACCTGGAGCAGCACCTTGGACTGCGACCCGCCCGAGCTCGTCGTGCCCCAGCCGCGGACCTTGGCGACGACGCCCGGTGCGTTGGATGCGTCGTCGTCAAAGCTGAGCGTCACGGGCGTTTCCTTGCTCGCGCGCTCGAGCTCGAGGATGCCAAAGTCGTAGTGCATGTCGGCATTGGTCC